ATATACATATACACACATATATATACATATACACACATATATATACACACATATATATACATATACATATACACACATATATATACATATACACACACATATATACTTTAGGAAAACATAAAAACTCATCTCCAGAGATTTGAAACGCGATGTTTGTCCTGGAAAAGACTTGCTGATGCTGCTGAAAGGCCTGTTGACACCCAGCGGCGGGGATTTCAGTGTCTGAACTACCTGCCTGTGAAGGGCTGAATCGCTCACTTGTGAATGTAGCCGTCTCTGCCATCAATCTGTACAGCTAAGCAGTTAAAGCGGCCATTAACATGCTGAGGGCCGCCGATGACATATTTAACATCTCAGAGGTGTGTGTGTGAGGACAAACATCTCCTGATGAAGAACGAACAAATTCAAGTTCCATACTGCAGTTTGAACCATTGATGATTGGTGTGATGATGAAGGTTTGTATTTAAAGTCATTAGGTCTTTGATGTACATTGTTTTATGTGAACTTGTGTTTTTCTATATTTGTAGGCTACTATGTTTTATGTATTTTCTTCTGTGTATGTTCAAGTCTGAGCTCTGTGTTGAACCTGGCCTGCAAGACACATTCCCCCAGGGGAAAATAAAGTTAAAGTAGAGAATATAAAAGATAGTGATGGTAAAGAAAGAAATGAAACGTTATTTCTTGCTTAAATAGGAATTTTGGAACACTGTCGTCAACAGGAGCTACAGATCATAAAACTCCCCAATTGGTCGTTTTAGAAGCGATCACAACGGGCCTGTCTGGTTTGGAGGACTTATGGAATAAAACACCAGAAGATGTTAAATTAATTGAAGTAACATTAACCCCAAAAGTCCTGATCTCAACTGCATGAGCACGTAACACTTCAAATCAGAAATGAATGGAAAGTGAATTTAAATCTTGACATTTCTGTCTATTATAAGGGAAAGAAACAGATGACTTATTCTAAGCTATAATAAAAAACACAATTAATTAAACATGATTTACAGTAATATAAGGTTGAAGCATGCCTCCTTAATTCTTTAATACATTGTATGCTATATATGTTTGACATTACACGGTATGTTTTTTTCATCTATGGTCTTAAATAGTAAAATATCAATCATTGGTATATTCCCAGCCTCTTGACTTTAGTGCCCCGACCATATTTGGTGTCGCTGTGATGTTTGCTCAGCGTGCTGTTAAAATACATTATAGGATTACTGCGGCTCTATTTCACAGTAATTCCTTAATTTCTCTCTCACACACCTGTCTGTTTCCCCTGAGTAGCAGGTTCAATATTTGGCTGGCAGCAGTGTGTGTGTGTGTGTTTATGGTTTGGTTTAGCTGGCTGGTCTTATGCCCTGCCGTCCTAGCTCCCTCCGTCACACACACTTCTAAATCAAAAATGAATCTCTTTACTCTGAAAAGCAATATGGTCTTTGACGCTGTCAGAATAACCAAAATAATATCAAGCAGATCTGTTCTTGTTTTTTAGTGTTGAGCCATGTTGTCAAGTCTGTTCTGTTTGACTAAACCAGGCATGGGCAAACTGCGGCCCGTCAAATACAGGTACAAAATTGTCCAAACTAAAATAAAGACTAGGGCTGAGCGGTATACCGGTTTTAATTTCCCGTATGATATGAATTCTTCACACACCATCATACCGGTGCATAGCCAAAACAACTGGTCTGTCTTCAACAGACAGCTAAATGTATTGTTCGCAGCTGGAGGCGCTGCGGTCGGAGCTAGTTGTCTTATATGTATTGAGAGGGAACCCTAGTCATGGTCATAACTTTATAACAACAATGAACAACCCACAACTAACGCTCTCTAACAGAGAAAAACACCACAGCACACAACAGTCAGTAACGCATAAACAATTTGTAACTAATAATTGTACATTTATAAAATTTCACCGCCGAACTGCATGCTGGGTACAGCTCACTCGCGAGCCTGCTAGCACAACAGTCTGCTAACAGCTTGGAGAGGCTCCGCCGCTCCAGTTACGATACATTAAAGAACAGAACAGAGCGATGCAGGATGAACAAAGACAGACCAGAGATGCACCAACATATGCAACGCTGATTACCATATAATATGTGTGGTATTTGTTATAAATGTACGTTGGTACATGGAGGGGCTTAGGACCCAGGGGAATGTAGGTGAAGGAAACAGGAAGAGACGTAAGACACGTCACACAAACAGCTGTTCACCGCTCTTCACGATCCTGCAGATCAGTGATTCTCAACTGGTGGTTCGTCGCGGACCGGTTTTCAGTGGGTCGCGGGCCTTTGCTTTATGCTCACGCTCCTATCCAGCATTTACGGCACTTGTTCAGCGATGCAGGAAAAACACCGACCAATGCATTGTAAATCAGGTCACGTGATGCAGTTTAGCCAATAAAATAAGGGTATTCTGATACGTTTCCTGACTCCAGTGAGATGTACCCACACCGTGACACAGGGGGGAGAGACAAGGAAAGACTTTACAGAGCAGAGCAGAGTAATGTGAAAGTCAATGATCATGAAAGTCAATGATCGGTTCAAAGAAGCAAAATTGCTAAAAAAGACCTCAGTCTTTCACTGATAAACATCTCAGATCTGTTCTGACAATTACCACAACCAAACTGACACCAAATGTTAATTGCACTGGCAAAAAAGGGAAACCAACAACACTGTTCCCACTGAAATTAAATGTAAGTTTTCTTTATTTTTTAGGTAATGACTGACTTGTAATTTATATTAGTTCACACAAACACTCTCCAATCATCTGCTACTGGCCCGGCCCGTCTTTCAAATTTTAAAACTCAATGTGGCCCCCAAGCCAAAAAGTTTGCCCACCCCTGGACTAAACCAATTAAAGACAGCTGATCAAAAATCAGGAAGCCACTGTGGTGTAGCCACTAGTTGTCCCTCAACAGCAGGCCAATTACGTAGATAAAAAACAACAAACACACGCACACACCTTTACTAACATTTGGTAAATTATGATCCATTTACAGTCAAATAGACCATAAAGCAGGGTATGCTTTAGGGCGGGCTACTGCGATTGACAGGTTGCTGTAGCTACCAGAGCCGTACACGGCGTCACTACGTCACTCCTCCGCATTCCAAATACGTTCACTTCTGTTCATTGGTTGCAAAAAAGCCAAGATGGCTTCATGACGGCAGTCCACAAACCAATGGGTGACGTCACCATGACTACATCCACTTCTCATACAGTCTGTGTGTAAAGTGAAAGGTGCTGGCTGGTGCTGAGAAGTATTGACGTTCCTCCTTCAGAGAAGGTCCTTGTAAAGGTCTCATGTAAAGGGTGTCGTCTTTGCTTTGTTTGGCTGGAAATCTTGTTTTACTTGTTTTATATTTAATACAGGGGAAAAAAGCAATCATTGAAAATTGCTAAATATAGCAGATATTTTTAGTAAAAGTTGAATGAGTCAAAGTAAGTTAGTCGAAGCCTGTGTCAGTGGGAAATAAATAGAAATAAAGGCGATAGGTTCAGAATCTATATATGAAAGAAATGGTTCCATCCATCAGATTTAAAACAAATGTTTCAACAAAATGAAGCCCATGGAATTAGGGGGTTTCATTAGCCAATTACAAGCCAATAATAAAATATAATAAGGTCAATTCTCTTTTGTGTTGGAGGACCAGGGTATATGGAGAAAATCAAATATCACAATATTCTTTGACTAAATACCTCGATGTTATGCAATAATTTTGCAGGGTTGGCCATTTGGTGCTTTCACAATGACTTTCTTTTTACAAATAATCCTCAGTAATGTGGAGATAATGACTAATTGGGTCAGTTCAGAAAATGATATCACACAACTGTAATGGGGCCTCTAAAACCAGAAGAAAATACTTATGACATACTACATTAAGATACCCGATATCTAGTCTCACACCACATTGATAGAATAGTGATATATTGTGTGTTGTGTTGCCTCTTTCATAAATGCGTTTAAAATAAATATCTGCACTTGTCTGCTTGATAAATTGGCAACTAAAAACTAAATTCACAAAGTTTTCAGCCACAAACCTGTTAACATATTTCAACTGAGCCGGTATAGAGTTCTGGTATAGGCATACTACACTAGTACAGCTACTAGTTTAGGAAGTTAATTCCTCAAATTCATCCCTCACCAGTCTGCAGACGCACAAAGTTCCACTCACTAGCTCAGCAAACAGAATATGCTACTTGTTAGCAAGTCGGAGTAGAAGTTCAGGTCCTACCGCTGCTCTGTCGGTCTGAACCGACTCCGACAGCACGAAGACGAGCAGCGCGCGGCACGCGAAGGTGAGCGCGAGCAGCATCCCTGCGACGGCGGACCAGAGAAGCGGCCGCGCGCCCTTAGTAGCGCCCCGTCTTTCCGAGGCTTCAAAGCGCCGCGGTGCGCGCGGAGCGGACACGCTAGTCCGCAGCGGGTGAAGATAATGATGGTAAGGAAAGGTCTAAACGAAGGCCGACTTCGTCGTCACTTTTTCGGAGGTCACCGAGCCGCTCATGTTGCCGATTAGCTGTCTTGTGCTCATATAAAAAAAAAAAAAAAGAAACACCCGCGAGCGTACAAGCAGGTCGGCGATGCGTGCGCAGATCAGACACCTCTCAAAAAGGTACTGCCCATTTCTGTTTCTCGTGTCCAAACTCAGGACATAAACTCTACAAGTTAAAACCTGTAGCTGGCGGTGGTTAACCCCAGTAATACTGGCATGTAAATATATATATATTTATAATATACATCAGTTGTATTAAATATGTAAACAACTATGCTAATGTCACATCAAACTGTCAAGGCTGCATCATCATAAGACCATCTTCACAATAATAGAATGTATTCTGTGTTTACAGTTGAAAAGAATAACAGCCTTTAGTCTTATTGACAGCAGATCTCAAGTTCAACACGGACAGACAGACACAAAAAAAAAAAAAGACATGGAGTCAAGCGGAGGTATTTTGTAAGGAAACTTTTATGTGTGCTTTTGTGAAACTCACTTATCATTAGAGACAGAAGGCGTTGCAGTTTCCAGTACAGCAGATAAGGTTTGATATTAAAGAGTACAAAAAAAAGGAAAAAAATAAATCACAATTTCAGAGTTCTTTTTCTCTCCAACCTTGCAGGGGGAAAAGGAGAAAGGAAAAAAAATAGAAACAAGCTTTTGGTCCGAGTCTTCTTCTCAGTTGCTTTCCCTGTCTGCCCGTCTCCCCTCTTCTCCCCCCTCTTCTCCCCCGTAACAGCCAACAAACACTGGAGAAATCTCGTTAACCTGCGTTTAATTTAGGCAGGGACTGTTCTCAGTAAAGGGCCCGATTGATGCCCACAACTTCCCCTAGAACTCAGATATTGAACACATGATTGCATAGTTTTTTTTGTTTTTGTTTTTTAATACATAATTTCCTTTTTTTAGAATATTTTTCATTTGCACATAATGGAATGTTTACATAAAGACCCCTCCCTGATCTTTCCCCACAGTAAATTTTCTTTCCCTTTACTTTAGAGACAAATGACGGGATGTAAGAAAAGAGGGGGAGGACGTGGGAGAGTGTAAGAGAGAGGGGGGGGGGGGGGGACAGGGCTGCAGCCACAAATAGGCACATTGATCTCATTTCTTATGTTTTGCCATTTTTCCCTCCACAGAGTGGCACTATGACAGCTCCTAAAAAAAATCCAGGAAGTGCAAAAAAAAACAACAAAAAAAACTTTCATTCAGCCAATCAGATGCATCCATGACGTGTGTTTGAATATATTTCTGCATGTGTGCGCAATTTCTGGCATATAAAACTGGTCTAACTTTGACTACTACCATCCTACCTATCATATAAATGTATAGTCTTTGTATTTAAATAAGCACCTGAAGCCCACCCCAAGAGAAAAGTTTCACAGAAGCAAATATTTGTGGATAACTATGGTTGTTTGCCCGTCATGGGGTTTTTACAGGAGGCCTTTAGGTACACGAGTCTTAAACTTCATGGCGACCAACGTCTTCCATTGCAAAAACAAAAAAGAAGTGAAGACTTCTGGAAGCTCAAACCTATCCACTGGTGAAACTGCTCTCTCTGTCGTTAGCTTTTTTTTCCAATTGCTTGTGTTTTTGTCATTTTATTTATTCATTTTTATAATAAATGTCACTCTTCGCCCCCCCCCCTCCCTTATTGAAAGCCTGTGAGTAATTACTCTCGACAACTAGAACCGTGTGTGCCACTCTCCGCACTGAAAAAAATATGTACAGCGCTGAGCCCCCCGCCCACCCCAACTCTTCCCACCTGCTCGGGAAAAAGAAAAAAGAAATAAACAAAGACAGGAGGAGGAAAAAAGAGCGGAGGTTAGACACCTAGTCCAGCAACATGGGAATTATGGGTAAACATGTCTTTTTTTAATTTTTTATCTCTGGTTGGTCAACACCCCCGTCCTGCAGCATATATCTCTCTAGGAACTAATACACAGACCTCGCCAGTCGCCACGTCAAAAGCCCACAACATGCCCTGAACCCGCCTGGCAAGAAGAAAGAAATTATAATAAAATAAACAAAAAATAAGCATAAGTATCAGATTAGCTCGTTTGATCCCACAAAAGGCAGAGAGGGTGAAGCTGAATGACCCCCCCCCCCACATCCCGCAGCTGCCCCTGGATATGCCCGTTCATATGAACCTTTTTACCACAAATTGATTACTCTGGATCCGTTTAGAGGCTGGGAAGAAACATTCGACAGAGGCCAAACCGAACTACAAGTTCCATCAACAAGTATCCGCGTTCTTTAAAAGAAATATTCTGACGATTTCTAAACCGGCACACGCAGGGGCACCTTACAACCACCACTCCAATTCGTTCCAGACGCTCGATTCCTGGGCGTCTTCTCTATGCACAGAATGACTGTCTACCTCCCTCCCTCCCTCCCTTCCTCCTGTCCAGCCCTCCTCCTCCTCTTGCCTCCTTTACAGGTCGCTCTCTCCGTACAGGGCGGTGGAGAAGGACATGTAGTCCAGGGCGCCAGGGGCGGCGTCGGCCCCCGTGTAGGGCGCCATGCGGGCGATGCAGTACTCAGCCTGGTCGGGGGGGAGCTCCCTCCTCAGCTCCTCGGCCGTGATGAAGGTCTGGTGGAAACGGAGAGGAAGGGGACAGTTGGTGATGGCCTCAATTTTTTGTCCTTATATTGGTCTACACTTGTACACTTGAAATCCTTTTCTTACTTTATTCAAAGACAAATTACGAGCCATAATTAAAAAAAAGAACACAAGTACACCTGACAGGACCAATTTACTGTTATGCTTTAAACATATGATATACTGCAGTGCGTGCGCCCTCTCTTACACCACAGAGCTTAATGGTGACTCATCAGAGGTTGAAACTATGGACAAAACTATTGTTCTGATCCATTTCCTGATTACAATTACAATTCAGACAGAATCATTCATCAAATGATCAAATTTACTGCAATTTCCCAAAAGATTTTCCCAAAAGATTGCATTTGTTCCGTTAGTGTGAGCTTAATGTTTGGATCAATTCAACGCATTTTATTTTAAATAGTAATCCAATTAGAAAACATCTTACTGAATTATTTCACCTGGGTTATAAAGAATGTGAAAATGAATACAAAATAACATTATTCTGCATAAAATCTCACACACACACACACACACACACACACCTTATCAGCAGCCAGGATCTTGAAGGAGGCGATGACCTGGTCCGCGGTGTCCGTGTCGGTCGTTTCCCTGGACATGAAGTCGATGAAGGCCTGGAAGGTCACGGCGCCGCTGCCGTTGGGGTCCACTATGCTCATGATGCGAGCAAACTCACTCTCTCCCTGGCAACCAAGACAGCAACGGGTTAACCCAGGAGAGAGAGACACACACACACACACACACACACACACACACACCCAGACAGAACGTGACACGTAGAACTCTAAGTGTGTAAAAACATCAGGACCTCCAGGAAATAGACTGAGCCGAAGAACAGATGTAAAAGTTGTGATCGTGGTCCTGATGTTTTGTATTCCACACTTTGGACACATGCATATACATAGATTACATGACCACTGGTTAATACCTAATGTCTAACACAGACAAGAGGACGGCACCGAGGACAAACGGTTATGTAGAATTCTGATGGTCTATGAAAAATGACATTTGTCCTTCAGTCAGTAGCCACAGACCAGGGCAGAAAGGTAGTGAGTAGAAAAGCGACACAGATGTGACAAACAGAGAAGCAACGAGAGGTGAGAGAGCGGGAGGGAGAGAGGGAGTGAGAGAGAGAGAGCAGGGTGTCTGCAGGTGTCAACTCAGATTTAAGATATTGCACCAAAATATACTTTAAAATGAAACAAATGGTAAATATATCTGTGATGATAAAAAATAAAAATGAATAGGACCGGGTTGGTTTGAACATATTTCTTATTTTTTAAAAAACAAGTTTTTTTTATATTTGACTTTGAGGAATGTACAAAACTTTCTTTACAAAACCCATTTTGCTATTTAATCAAAAAAAATTAAAAGCCAAACTTCTTAAATGTGTCAATTACACATTGTTTTCCTTAAAGGAATACTTGACCTCCTAAAAGGACATTTTTGAAGTCAATTCCTAACTCCTTGTTATCTAGAAAACTTGGTTTTTCTCACATTTAAAAACACTCACAAACGCCTCGCGCGTGCACAGGCGCTCTACGGACGAGGTTTCAAATAGTCCGGTTTTAGTGAAGATGCATGTGTTTGGGAAGCAGAGAGCATACCACTGGATAAATGACATTATGCTGCTCAAGCTGTGTGACAGCTTGTAAACCTATGTTTTGATATAGTTAAAAATAATTGACTTCAGTTCCTCGAGCTCTTCTTCTGATTCTTCGTTCACCACAAGACGTGCGAGAAAAACAAAACTTTCTTGAAGAACTCGAGGTGAATAATCGACATACAAATGGTCATTTTGGGGGTGAAGTATACTAAAAGAACTATAAACAAAAAGCTACACATCAGTCTGTAAAAATGATGATTTGAGGGAATATGTGATTGAAGAATAAGTAAACATTTGGGCTGTTACTCTACCAGATAGAGATAGATGGACATCCAGCCCTAATCATGAATGGGTCAAATTCTCACTGGAAAATTAGCATGACGGGAGACATTCATTGAAGTCACTTAAGGTTTTTGAATTTGCCACACTTGGTAGAATCGGGATGTTGTTGGACCTGCGGACACCCTGTGAGAGCATCATGCCAGCAGCAGCAGTACCAGGCTGTATCCTGTAGAAATGAGTAGAGCCCGGAAATCCTCCGAGACCATCTGACCCGATCGCTTCTGTGGGCCGCCACATGGCACAGCGAAGGCCGGGGGGGGAGTGGTAAGGGGGGAGTCAGAGATATACGAGTGGCAGAGAGGAGGAGTGACAGGATGAAAAAGAGGGATGGACAGAAATAGAGATATCCAAATATTTTAGAGAAATGTTTGGGGAGGGGGTGAAAGAAAGATGAAAAAAAAAGCACAAACTGTTAACAGCGACAGTTGAACCCGACAGACAGACAGACAGACAGACAGAGGGGGGGAGGGGGGTTCAGAGAGTGAGAGGGAGCCTCGTTTCCGAGCTAAAGCGGCACAAAGCAACAGAGACCCCCGGTGGACCAACAGGGACATCGTCTCTGCCCTCCATGCTGGTGGGCTGAACCCTGCCTTGGACCCTGAGCAGGAGTCTCAGAGCCGGCTGATCACGGACCAGTTTGTTTCATATAACAACCAATATGAGGTTATTAATTTGACAAACTTAATATCGATAAAACGTGACCAATGTCTATGATCTAAAAACTGTGATGCAGGAAGGCACAAGCACCAATCATTTTCAGAATATACTCGCACAGTTTACATCCTTATCTTGTTCTTTTTATCTGAAAATTTAATTACTAATCCAATTGTGTCAGTAATCCAGATGTTTTGTCTTCAGTGTGAGGGATTATGATCTTTTAAAATGTTTGAAGCCAGACTTCACTGTCATCTTGCTTCTATTTCGAGGTGAGTTTAGAGTTTTAAAGTTCTTATGCAATTTGCTTTTTAAACTCTTGTTTATGTTTTTGTGTGATGCTTTTGAGAAATTTCTTTACGCCATCATCTTGGCCAGGACCCCTCTTGGAAGTGAGATTCTAACTCAATGGGATCATCCTGGATAAATGAAGGTTAAATAACTCAAAATAAATACAAATGCAGTGTGTTCTTGTGCAGATGAGTGAATTGATTTAAAATGTCTAATGTTTAAAATATCTGTTGTGTGAGGCGTGCGAGTGAAAAACACGTCCGACACTACAGGGTACAACTTTCTATTTTTGGTATGATTTTGTAAGTTTTTTTGTTTATTTTAAGAAAATCCTCATCATTGTTTCTTCAAACAATCAATGAAAAAACCTGAAAATGATCGACGGCTTTAGCCCCGGCTCAGACTGCCCGGTGATCACCGCTCCGCTCTCCTGCTCGGAGGCCCCGACAAAACAGCGACTCTCTCCGAACGGCTCCTACCTGCTTCTCGTTCTCCACGTCGTAGCCCAGACTGATCAAGCAGGCCTTGAACTCCTCAGCCATCAGTGCCCCGCTGTGGTCCTGAGATCAGCCCAACACCCAATGACACATCAAATCACAACACGGGGATGGGTGGTGGATGGCGAGCGTGAGATCCACACGGGTATGCAGAGGGGAAGATGAGGACATGGAGGATGGAGGGGGACAGACAAGACATTCATGGACATTTAGACAATGTCAACACACACACACGACGGACCCATTGAGGACCGGACACATCTTGAGTTATTCATGAAGTGTGTTCGCATAAACATTAAAAATGCCACCGTTTAAAGAGGAAAACATGGCGATGACGTTCCTCGTGTCCTGTGTGGAGATTCTAGTGGCGTGTGCCCAGAAACACCGCTGTGATGTGATGGATGAGTGTCGGACAGCAGCGTGAATCAGTGACACACACAAAGTGACACGCACACACACAGTGGTGTGAGATGGTGAATGGCGGTGGTTTGACACACAGAAGGTTGGCGACACGTTGTGCATTTTACATCCAGTGAAGCACCAGTTGTGAGGTGAGTGCATCTTCATACTACAAATAACAGGTTCTGACCCGCCATCAGGGTGAAGACACAACAGCTGTACAGCTAAAATGTACCGTAGTCGTTATGTTTTCATCGACCTTAAAGGGAACGTTAGGTTGTTTTTGAAGTGGGGTTGCATGAGGTGCTTCTGTAGATGGAGTTTAGAGAAACAATGTACTGCTGTGGACGCATTTTAAAAATATCGATATCAGTTTAAGTGTCCGCTATACTCAGAATACTTTCACCGCTTTACCGTGCCGACTGACAGCCCTCTCTGGGGAACTGAAGCCGTTAGTCTGGTGGCTCTAAAGAGAGCATCGATACCGGCTTCAGTTCCCCGTAGGGAAAGCCTGTTTGATGGTAAACTAAAGCGGTGAAAGTATTCTAAATATAGCGGACACTAATTCTCTGATATCGATTTTTTTTCTTTTCATCTAAAATACATGTTGCTGCCCCCCTCCTCGTCCACAGCAGTATATTGCTTTGCTCTCGTGCTGGTTCTGCGGTCTATTTCTCCGAACTCCATCTATTGTAGTAATACACCGATTACAGATAAGTACCTCATTCTACCCCCCTTCAGAAACAGCCAACCTGTCCCTGTGACTAACACATCAGTCTTTAGTCTGGACCTGTACTGTGATTCCCACATCATATCCTCACCCTTTGCCCTCTCAGCTAAAGTAAGAGCCGGTCACCAAACCCCACCCCGGTACACTCTCCCTTTCTGCTCTCCCCAACATGTGCTAAACATCTGGATGAATACTCACGCGCTTGGCTCTTCTCTCACCCCCTAGTAAGGACTGAACATTCAGTCGTGTTACGCATTCATATAGAAGCTAAATCCTCACGAAAAATGTAGACTGACAATAATGCAATGCGATTTTACACAACTGCCAGTAAATGTATCAATCAAATATTAAAAATAAATAATCAAACTGTTTACTGCTCTGTATGCATGTTTTATGCTGTGATATTACAGTAAATATAATCAAAAAAGGAACCGATTAACTGCAACAATCTTTGTATGTGTGTTTTACTGAGCCGACTGTGTCAACATAAAGCCTGCTGCCCAGATACAACTGAATTAAACAATACCGGCAAAGAAAGATAAAATGACTCAGCTCCCAGCCCAAGAACTGATTCTCCAGAGGACCTCTTGTAACACTTGTGGTATAGCGAGTATAGAGACTGCTGAACAAGTGTGCTGTGTGAGCCGTGGCCCCGGAGCTCGGGCCCCTGACCTTGTCAAAGTGGTTGAAGGAGGCGCGGTACTCGTGGAGCTGCTCCTGGGTGATGCCCTTGGCGTCACGCGTCAGGATCTGGTTCTCCACCTCGTTGATGGTTCTGGCGATGGTGGTCAGCAGCTGCTCCCAGCCCACGCGGAGGTGCTGTGAGGGAGGACACGAGAGGGAGGAAGCAAAGGGAGACGGGGAGAGGTGGGGGGAGGACACACGTTACATTTAGAAATTTTAGGGGGAAAAAAAGACTAATGAGCTTTAGAAATAACTTTCAAAAAAGGCACAAAACAGCATTTGTGAGCGAGACCGCGATGATCGAACGGATTCATTCATGAAGGTGTGTGTGTGTGTGTGTGTGTGTGTGTGTTACCTCCATCGTGTAGGAGGTGTACTGGTTGTCGAAGATGAGGGCCTCCTGGATGAGCTGATGGTACCCCTCCAGCGTGTTGATTTCGGGCATGTACGACATGATGGTCTTCTGGTACTCCTTCAGGTTGGTCAGCTGGTCCTCCAGGGTGCCGTTCATCTCGATGGATATCCTGCCGATTTCCTGACGACAAAAGATGCACACGAGTGTTTTACTGTCCTGTTGACCGCTGCGAGTGTGAAATCTTCGGAAGACGCTCGGACGCAAGCTCTCACGCACATATCTTCTATCATAAAATCCGGTTTGCTTTCACACCACAAACGAACCGCATCAGAGTCCACTGGGAAGCGGACCGAGACCAGCCGTTTTAGGGGTCTCGATTCAGTTTGTTTGGTCCCCAACGGGTTTCAATTGACAACTTTCAGAGGAGCCCAAAAGGAACCGGACTACACCGACCGGAGTTTGTTTTAACCGAAACCAACCGGGACTAGTGTGAAAGCACCGTAAGTGAAGATGCACCAGTGACAAGTTGCAGCAGCTCCATTTAAAAAACAACAAAATATGTCTGAAAATAAAGTATGTACTGTCATGAACGAAGTGGAGCGGTGTTGCAGCAGGATAAAGGCCCAATCCCAAAAACTAGTGATCAACCATGTGAAAAAAAACAGACCCTACTTTGCTCTATGAGCTCACTGTTGCACAATGTTGGCCCGGAGAAGGTGCGACAAACTGCGCACAGCAGTGCTTTGCACGCAACGGTCAGTCGGACTCGACTGCGTGGGCGGAATCAGTTACCTCCATTTTGGCCTGTATGTAGGCGCCGACCGTGTTGGCCTGGGTGGCGAACTTGGCTCTCAGGGTGTCGTTGGAGTTCTGCTTGTTGAGCTCGCCCTGCAGGGCGGTGTCACGCAGCGGCACCATGGCCATCGCCTGCAAACACACACACAGACACATTAGAAAGACTTCCTACTGTAACACACACACCTGGAGAACATCTTTAGATCATTCGGCCTGCAGAGATCTTTGGCTCGCTGCAGCTACGTTAGTAATCAATCAACTAGTCATCTCTAAATAAATACTGGACGAGGTACAGCTTATGGTTCTGGTATGCACAACAACAAAATATATAGACCTGCATCAAGTGTTTGCTGCTTTTATTGGTTAAGTCTGTGGAGTTACTGAAGTTCATCTCCCTAAAGCGAATAACAATAACCAGTCCAAGAAGCGTCAGAGATGACAAACAAGAGCAGAACATGGAAATCATCTCTAATGCATCATGTCCACATGAACTCAATAAGATAGAGCAACAAAAATATGAGTTATGGTGAAAGAATAAAACACTTCTAATCATTACAAACGGGGTTCAACCTTTTTGGAACCATAAACTCTTTTACCAAAGTATATCTTGAAATAAGTCGATCAGAGCGGTTGTAAATAATAAATAAAGTTTTTAGACTCTTGACGTAAAATGTACAGTCAGGAAACATAATTGTAATCACAACAGCAGAGTATTGTTTTGTTTCCATCGTACTACACTATGGCCTTTCTTTCAACATATACATATGTATATGTTCTACTATACATATATAGCACACATAACATATACACATGTTCTACTATACGATGGCTCTTTTTGGCTTTGAATGACCTGCTATGACTGTTGGGGAATAAGAGCTGACAAAGCTGGTTTGTGTCTCTGCATGACTTGTTTTACAACAGGCGGTTGCTAACGAGCCGCTAAATGAGACAACAAACCGTCCTCACCCCGACGAGTCCGTCACAGACTCCTCGTGTATACCGTGTCGGGTTCGTTTCAGTGAAGATTATTTTGCTGAACGAAACATATAAGTTTCACAAACTTTTGTGCGAGAGACGTTTGTAACGACTTGCTTCCTGTTGCTGCCTCTTTGGCCAGGTCGTCATTGTAAATGAGAACTGGTTCTCAATTGACTTATCTGGTTAAATAAAGGTAGAATAAATAACCCTTTTTTTTTTTTCAATAATCCAAAATGAAATGGAAAAATCCCGTTGGCTTTTTGCCGAGAGAACCAGTGTGATTCTAACTTCCTGTTGGCTGACAGAAAGAAGTCATCCCTGCATCGCTCCATTATACATTTGTGAAACAAATTTCTATTTTCCTTTTCCAAAAACTTTCTGGGTTTATTCATTTTTCTTCCCAAAACCTCTCCGAGTTATCTGCCATTTTTAAAACCCATGACTTGTGCCAGGTCTCTCGTGACTGGAGGACCCCCTGTACCGAGCGCGGGCTGCAGCCTACCTTCTCCCACTTGCCGTCGATGCTCTCGGGTGTGATGGTGGTGTACGGGTTGGCTCCGCTCAGCTTGATGCCGTTGCTCTGGGCGATCTTCTGCACCTCGGCCTGGATGGCCTGGATGGCCTCCCGCTCCTTGTTGGCCTCCGCCAGGGTGGACTTGAACTGCTCGTGGGCTGTGATGAGACCCTGGAGGAGGAGAAAAAAACACCACATTTATTACATCTGTAATAAAAATGTATCTTGTGCCAGATATAGTTTACCGGTTTATCTGGACAGGTTACCTGGATCTCCTCGATATTGTGGACGATGAACATGTCCTGCAGGTCCTCCATCGCTCCCTCCATCCAGTTGTTGAAGGGCGCCGCTCTCTTGGCGTACTCAAGGTAAAGCTCGTCTATCGACTCCAGCTGCTTCTCTGTCCTCTGTTGGCAAGGAAACGGCCAGAGGAGGAGTTTTATCAAAATACATTTTAACAAATTAATGACAAGAACGTAAACGTGTGGATACTAGTATTTGATACAGCTGTTTGAGGACAGACTAAATACTTCACTAGGCATTAGAGATGGATAACATTACACAAAAAACTGTTTTTTTCTACCTTCTATTTTCTACAAACCTATAAACACAAACACTCTCGACAATTTTGTCCCCCGCAAAACAATGGTTTCAAATGATGAGGCATAATCATTTTCATAAAGCTCTACAGACCATTTCACATTCCGTAAACAACGATGACGTACGTGTGCGCACGCAGTTTGGCAACAGAAGTACAGAAGGAGTGTAAAAGCTTGTCAAGTTAAGCATCGGCATAAACCACTAAAGACAGCCGAAGAAGTCGACTTTCCAGATCTGTGTGCCATCAGTGAGGGTGTAGAATACATTAGCAAATGGCCCGATATTTAGTGGCCACATATACACAGCGGACTGATGAGTGAGCGTTACCTCCAGTGACTCTTTGCGGCTCTGGGTGAAGGCTCCCAGGGAGTCCCACTGGTCGCAGATCTTCTGACAGCGAGCGTTGACCTTGGCGGAGTCGTAGTAGTCCAGCTCGCTGCAAACACAGAGCAGAGGAGTTCAGAGCTCATTCTTCACTTGAACAGATGAATGATCCAGTTCTATAGAGTAAGAGTAGTGTGCTGCAGGAATGAGTCCGAACACCCGGATGGGTTTCTTGAGTGGGTTTTTGGTTAGATGCCTGAAATAAGGTCTACTGGTAATTTGATGCTTTTAAAAAAGGCGGTTGCTAATAAGTGTCGAAATGAGACTACAAAACGTCATCACTGCCAACTGGTCCGCCTTTATCTTAGCAGTGGTGACGTGAAGCCATCTGACCATGGTGTAGTTCCTTTGTAGCCTAGCGTTAGCCTTTTACTTTTGGCCGTTTACGTAGCTTATTTACGCCACAAAAGCCTCGAGTTCGGCATTTTGCACCGTCGCCATCTTGGTTTTTCGCCACCAGAAGTGGCACGAGAGGCGATTCAAATGTTTAGGTGACTAAATTGTTTCAATTAACTTCCATGAAGTGAAAACACAGCGAAAGTGTTACAGTTGATGGACATAAACATGGCCAACTCCCGGAACAGACAACACCGCAGTAGCAACCTGCCTTCTCAGAAGGTTTCTTCCTGCGTGGAAGTATCATAAACGTTTGCGATAGAGCTTGTTTTTCTGCAATAATCCAAAATCCAATGAAAAAAAATCCCGACGACTTTCTGTTGTATTATTGTTTTCACACTGTGACCCGTCGGGCCCACAGCTGTTTTTCCTTTCCACACTTGTTCCTCACTTGAGCTCCTGTGCAATGGCGGCGATCTGCTCCACTCGGTCCTGATGGGCCGCCAGGTCGCTCTCAAAGGCCTCGTGTTTCCGTAGCAACGCCTTGACCTCTGACAGGGTGGAGGTCTCGTAGTCTTTCTGCGTCAGCATGGCCTCCTTACCTGCACACACACACACACACACACACACACACACACACACAACACATTTATCTGAAAGTTGCTTATTGAAAGACGCATTTTGAATGAGCGTATTCATCGTGTCCCGACAAACTCCGTACAGGATAGAAAGAATAATCTATAATATTTTGTCTCTTTTTTTCAATAACGAAAATAAAGACGGATCACCAGTCGTGGGGAAAAAAAGGTTCTTGACGAACATATTTAGTCATGTTTTCCTTAAGAAAATAAACGCTTACTACACTTTAAAAAAAACTAAATTGTGCTTTAAGTGCATTGTTTGAAATACCTGCGTCATCTGCTCTCTCCAGGAGGAAGGCTGACTGGCTAAATAAACACCAAAGCTGTGTTCTGTCATTTATGTCCCTTAACAATTCCACTTTTAACAAAAAGTGCAGTTGGAGGGATTTAAGAGGGATTTAACATCTTCAAACTGAGACAAAAACAAATGAATAAAATAAAAGAAGAGGATCCAACTTGATCCCAGAGGCGATTCAGCCCAGTACTCGGTATGTCCACCCAGTGTGGACGCGCGTGTGTGATTAAACCCTCCACGTACCGTCGGTCCAGGATTCGTGGATGGCGGCCTTCTGGTGGAACTTCTCGGCCAAGTGCTCCAGTCTCTCCAGGCGGCGGATCTCGCTGAGGATCCACTCCTCGTAGCCCTTCTCCGCCCCCTCCAGAGTGTGCCACGCTCCGTTGATATCCTGAGACCAGACGGTATGAGATACTAATATCAGAGTACAGCGCGGCGCCCGTTTCTTTGCCTCTCTAGTTCACAATTGTTCACTTTTTCTAATGCGATGGGCATATTTTATGCAGCCTGTAACAGATAATAAACTTGAAATGTCTTAAGACGTGGACCTTTTTAATACAAAATGGGTGACACGAACGATCACTGCATACATACAGACACCATGCGTCCCTCTGATGGCATGAAGGCAGGTCTGTTGCTGAGTCTCAGTTTAGTCTGCAGAGTGTTGAAGCTGATCTCCAGCTGGCATTTCTCTTGGACCTGAAGACAAGAGGCTCGCAAGCGTTAGTGGACACATTCATGCAGCGTCGGGACAAAGACCCTCAACTGGCTCTAAGCGAGACTGGTTACCGTTAAATCTAAAAGCCACTCTCACATGTCGCCGTGCCTATTTGCACTGCAGAAGTAACTCCCCGTACCTTGGGCGGTTTGTGGACACAGCGGTAGTCTCTGAAGTCCTCCTGCTTCGCCTGCATGTCGTTCACGGTCTTCTCCTGGGTCCGGTTCTCCAGCCAGGGGACGGTGCGACGGATCCACTCCAGCAGCTGGGAGGCAGAGAGGAAGACGGGTTCAGGACGCTCGTGATCAAAGTTATTTTCTAGACGGTGTATCGGCGTGTGTGGAATGTTCAGGGGGACGTCGAGGATCTCAGAGGAAGAGGGTGTTTGTCCTCACCTCGCTGGCCAGCTTCTCGTAGTCCTCCATCATTTGCTCGTTCTCCTGGTTGACAGCCAGCACTTTGCAGATGCGATTGGCGGCCGTCTCGGCCTATCGGGAAACGGAGTGGTGAGTGGCGCTCGCAGTGATTGGATAAAGCACTGTGACATTGAGTCCATTCACTGTAGCTGCGCGTTAAAAAGTTACTAAAACAAACAGAAAACAAGCGTCTCCGGCTCTTTGCAACAACCTCAACCTGGGCTTTTATTACTAGTGTTATCATAACTCTGTTACTTCCCTAATTTGTGATTACACACTCCACACACAGGCAGTGAATAGGAATAAATCCAACCATAAAGGCACACATTGTTAAAGAAAAGTGCAAATGAACTCAAACAAATGGAAGTCAAATGGATTGGACTAATAAAATCATGCTCCAGCTGTTGATGGTTAGTTTAAATGTGCCAAAAACAAAAATCAATCTTTGTGTTTTAAAGCGCCATGCGTCTCCCGACAAAACTCAGGATTCAGTCCATACATCTAGTTACAGGTTCATGTAGCGCTGTAGTCCACATCAGTAGGGCTGCCTAGGATATTACACTACTGTACCGCTGGAATAAAACAAACACACAGTACTTTGACATGTGGATTAAAGCCAAAATATTCTGTACGACTAACTTTCTATTTGCCGTTCTAACATGCTTTGAAGCTTTTTATATATATATATATATATATATATATATATATATATATATATCCAAATAATATCACACAATAAAACAAACATTTAGAGTTGAGAGATGTTAATGGCTGAAGAGAAACTGGACGACATCGACCAGTGTTTCCCGCAGTAATAAACCCAAACAGGTCTGCATTTCCCAAAACCACATCAGTGGGATGATCGTTCACGTCTCATCGCTTTCCACCGGAGGGACGGACACGACCACACGGACATGTATTCTGGAGGAAATTAAGGCTGCAGCTTGCACTTATTTTAGTAATTGATCATTCTACTGATTATTCCATCAATTAATCAGATACAAAATAGTTTTGCTTTATCAAGGAGCAAAAGTAAACTAAGCCTTGCATCGATTTTTATTAATCTAGTGTTGAATCTTTTCAATGTGCGTGCATGTATATGTGTACACACACACACACACACACACACACACACACACACACACACACACA